GTGGCTGCATTTGCTTTCTATGGCTCCTTTCTAGGGCACTTAAGTCACAGTCTTGGTGACTGAACACACAACTTTATTATCTTTCCGTTCTGTGGGTTAGAAGTCCAGCATGGGTCATAATGGGTTAATTAAGGAGTTGGCAGGGCTGTATTCCTTCTGGAAGCTCTAGGGGACCATTGTTTCCTTGCCTGTGCCAGCTTCTCATTCCTTGATTCATGGACCCCTCCCACCTTCAGAGCCAGCAAGGGCTGATCAAGTCTCTCCCACATGGCATCACTCAGAGGCTGACTTCTGCTTCCCTCTTTCACTTATCAGGACTTTTGTGATTATACTGGGCCCACTGGATAATCCTGAAAAATCTTCCATGTCAAGATCCTCAACTGAATCACATCTGCCAAGCCCCAAAGGGAGTATCTTTTAGGGGAGGGGTAGCTATCATTCTAAATACCACGATGGTGTTCCTCCTGCCTGGAAAGTCTCCTTCTCTGCTTGGAAGTCCCCCATCCAATTCCTTAGGCATTCCTGAAAGTCCCATGGAAATGTCACTATTTTCATGAGACCCCTCCTCTTCCTCCAACCCAAGGGGCTCATTCCTAAGTCTCCTCAGTTCCATGTACAACCACCTCTCCTGCAGCACTTGCTTTGAACTATAGTTTATCTGTCCTCAAGCATGTCTCGCTGACTGGGTGTGAGTGACTGTCTTATTCATTTTTGCAGCCTCAGGGGCCTAACTATAAAAGATTGTGGAGAAGAAAAATGAATTGTGATATTTTGATGAGAAAAGACCTCAGGTGGAGACAGGCACAAGACCAATAAATTCAGAGGACTTCTGTTTTGAGTACAGTTTAGAAACTATTTCTGACAGCTCTTACCTGGTTATCATCAGATGATCAACCAAACCCCTTAATCCTTTAACCACTCCAAGGAGGTATTAGAGCAACCATTTGCATCTAAGGCCATGTTTAACTTCATTATGATTTGCCAGGGGTCACAAAATGTGGTCATAGTTTTAAGTGTCCTTGGCTTGGCTAGAAAAGAACAGGCCACACGCCAAGTGCTTAGTTAGATGTCCAGTTAGTGCAGATATTATCTGCCTGATTTATGGATTTAAAAAAAAAGAAAAGAAAATGACACTCATCTAACAAATCTGACTGTACTATGTTGGAGGCTAAAAGCAACTTTGCCACAATAATTACTTGGTATCTCAGTGTCTGGAATTTCTTGCATTAAAAACATAGAACAGAAAGTTCAAATTAAGCCAAGTTTATATAGCCTCAAATATTTAAATTGCAAGCCAAACAAGGAGTTGAATAAATTAAGGTCATGTGAATGGGGTGGCGGGGAAGATCTACAGTGAAACCTCGGTTCTCGAACTTAATTCATTCCCAAAGGCTGTTCAAGAAACCATTTGTTCAAAATCTGAATCATTTTCCCCATCTGAAAGAAAGTAAATTGAATTAATCCATTCCAGACCCCCAAGTGATTCCCTGTTTTAACCTTTCTCAATTGCCTGTGATCATTGTTTTGTGAGCACTTTCACACCCTTAGCAACATTAGCACTCTCGATGGCCTCTTTATTTTAAAATTGTGCTAGTTGTGGATTTCGCCATGCCATGCTTAGTAGCCAGGTCCGACACACAAACACCTCTATCATACTTTGCAATTCTTTCTTTTTTTAAAAAAAAAATATTTTTATTGATTTCAGAGAGGAAGGGAGAGGGAGAGACAGATGGAAACCAGTGATGAGAGAGAATCATTGATCGGCTGCCTCCTGCATGCCCCACACTAGACTTGAGCCCACAACCCGGTATGTGCCCTGACCTGGAATTGAACTGGTGACCTCCTGGTTCACAGGTTGGTGCTCAGCCACTGAGCACACCGGCAGGGCTATTTCTTAAGTTCTATCATTTTTCTCATAAGTTTTCTTTTCACCTTGCTGCTATTACTAATCTTCTTAGGGCCCATGGTGTCATACTGTATGTATCTATACTAATAAAAGAGTAATATGCTAATTAGACTGGAAATCCATCCGGACGTCCTTCCAGACAAAGCCACGGTGGCAGGGGCCAAGGCAGAGGCAGTTAGGGGCAACCAGCCTGGCGGGGGGGGGGGGGGGGCAGTTAGGGGCGATCCAGCCAGCAGGCAGAGGTGGTTAGGGGTGATCAGGCAGGCAGGCAGGTGAGCGATTAGGAGCCAGCGGTCCTGCAGGGATTGGGCCTAAACTGGCAGTCGGACATCCCCCGAGGGGTCCTGGATTGGAGAGGATGCAGGTCGGGCTGAGGGACACCCCCTCCCGTGCAAGAATTTCATGTACCAGACCTCTAGTTTAATAATAATTAGCAACAACGACACCAAAAAAACATAAAAATACAGCACAATTAACAATTCGAGATTTAGGGGTAAACTGACTCATACTCACACATTCTCTCCTTTGTCACCTAAGAGACGTGTGACTGATCATACAGGTGTCTGAAAGGGTTGTTGGGTTGAGAACCAAATTATTTGAGATGGGAGACATTCCAGAAGTGAGATTTGACTATATTTTTAAAGGTAATAATTTGCTATGAATATCTAATGTTACTAATTTCTATAAAGTACAGAAATATAAAGACATGAAAAAATAATTATGTGCTTGGCATTTGAGCTGCAAGAACCCAACAGTTAGGTACAAAAGAGAAGAAATTATTACCTGTTTTCTAATTTGAATACAAAAATCTACTTTGCTACTTTCTCTTCATTAGCAATATAAAAATCCCTCTTGAATCTAAACCCTGTTGCTTTTAGGTTAGGAGAAGGTGGAGTTTAAATATGTCTTTTGTTAAATTTCATTGTCCTTCCTAACTAAAAAACAAAACCATATATATAGATCTAGAAGGGGCCTATTGATCTATATTAACCCTCACATTCACAAAGGCTTAGTGCTTCCTCAAGGTCAGCAGAGCCAGTACTATCTTCCACTTGGGAATGCAGCCTGAGAACACCCGACCTGCTGTACAGGATAAGTTATACACATATGTGTTACTTCATGGCAGATTTTTAACCTGGTGCACATTTATAGAAAAGGGAAGCACAATTTCTCAATATGTGTTTCTCAATTATCTAAAGCAGCGGTTCTCAACCTTGGGTCGCGACCCCTTTGGCGGTCGAACGACCCTTTCACAGGGGTCGTCTAAGACCATCCTGTATATCAGATATTTACATTACGATTCATAACAGTAGCAACATTACAGTTATGAAATAGCAATGAAAATAATTTTATGGTTGGGTCACAGCATGAGGAACTGTATTTAAAGGGCCAGAAGGTTGAGAACCACTGAATTCTAAAGTTATCTATAAATGTGTTTAGAAATGCATTTAGGAGCAATGAACACCAAACTATTTGGCTAAAATGGAGGACTTTGGGCCTAGCTTATAGAAATCATATTGTTGCTATTGTAGGTGTCTGGAAATTTCAAGCCTTTCCTGTTATTAAATCTTGGTTATGTTTAGGCATAGCATAGAGCACACTTGGGAAAACCATCCAGGATAGCTGGAATTACAGCGGGAACCAGAGCAGGCAAGAACAAACATTAAAAGCTATTCACAGCCCAATGAAAAGTCAATGCACCTTGAAAATCTATTAAGGTCTATCAAGAATACAAACAAGATAATAAGCTTAATAAAGAAAAAACTGAACCCACTAAATGGTACTTATGGAAATAGGTTTGAGGACATAATTTTAATTTAGAGGTAGAACTAGTTCCTACTAAAACAAGGATGGCTTACCTTGCTCTTAATAGGTCCAAAAATCCTAGTAATGGTAATGGTACTAAATATTTTAGGAAGAACCAACAGTAGAAACCACAGTGGGATCTACAAATTGTCTTTTTTAAAAAATATATAAGTAAAATGCCAGTAAAACTACATTGGTCTAACTTTTCTGAAAATGAATCTTCCATCTTGCATTTCATATTGAACAATTTTACTATGTTCAGCATAGTAGCAACTGGAAAAAATGTGTTTCATGTAGAAACAAAAGTGAGAAAACTTTACAAAAAACTGCTCTTCTGCAACGATAGCCTCCCAACTTCTTAATATAAAGCTAACACAAAATAAAGATTGCTACAGTAACCAAACTTTTCTGTAACAAGTATTCTTAACAACAATGGCAATTCAACCATAAAAGGTTATTTTCTACAGTGTAAGCAGATAATGGACCTGCAAACATTCTTCCTTTTTTTTTTTTTTTTTTTTTTGCTAGCTTGCTTTATAAATCTTGCAACTTGCAAGCTCCAATTTTTTGGATGGGGAAGGCAGGTTAATGGTCGAGCGTAAAATAAATCAGCTCTGCAAATACTTTATTTTTTTTAAGCCGATGAAATAACGTTTCCCTTGCCACGTCATGAAGCAATTCTGTGTCAACTTGCTATGGAGGCAAATGCGACAAACTCAGAGAGCTCCAGTCGTGAGGCGGCGGCTGGAGGCACCCACAGCTTCCCGCACTCCTGCAGCAGCAGGACAAGGCGCTCTCCTGGAACCGGACCCAGAACCCCCGCTCAGGGCCTTCGGGGGCCAGGACAATACACCTTACCCCCTATTTCGGGGAAACTGAGGCACGGTGACCGGAGCGACCTGGAGTCAGGCGAAGGCCCCCAGCGCACTTTGGCTTCCCCTTCCCCTGGGAGACCCGGGAGGCTCCTCGGTAGCGCGCGGTAGACACCGCGTTCCACGCCACAGGAGGCTTATAGTATACGCCTGAGAGGCGGTGTCCCCAGCCCATCCCACCCCCCTCCCCGGGTCCCGCCCCACAGTATGTTGAAGCATCCTGCGACCCCCGGGAGCCTGCTGCAGGGATCTCGCCGCGCCTCCCAGTGCGCAGCCTGCGCCGCTGGCTCCGCCACCCTAAGTGCCCGAGAAAGTTCCGCGGTGACAGCCGCAGCTGCGACTCGAACGCCCACCAGGTGTGGGGCTCCCCGCTATCCGCGCCTCGCAGCCCGGTCTCACCGGGCGCCCCCGCTAACCTGACGCCGCCGTGCCACTCAGGTGGCCCCCGTGCACCGCTCGCCATGGCCAGCCTGAGAGTGGCCGCCGCGCCGCGCTCCCGGTCCGAGGACTCGCAGCGCCTACAGCGGGTGAGCCCCCTCCGCCAGCTCCGTGCAGCGAGGGCTGCGTCGCCGGCGGGCGGCCGGGAGTGCGGCGCTTCCCACCCACTGGAGCCAGAGCCGGCCGGTGCTGAGCATGCCCAGTGCGGCTCGCCGGGCGGCGCGGAGGCGCGGAACCGGGTGCGGTGTCAACGCCGGGTTTTCGCAGCAGCCACCGGGGCGGGGCGGGGCGGGCCAACCTGTGGGAGCCGCGGATCCTCCCGCAGAAGAGGGGGCGGGCTGTGGGTGCCAGGGAGTCCCCCATTCGATCTCCGCGGCTTCTGGCGCCGGCCTCCGCTGCAGGACGCCGAGCTTATAACGGAGCGGAGGGCATTTATTTCGGATGCTGTCGTGCTCGGGCAGCATGACTGGTAATTGAGATGCAGGGCACAACCAGGGGTTCTATTGCAACTTTGTGGAGCGGCGCGTCGCACTGTTACTCAGGGAGAGGTTTCTTAGAATCCCATCCCGGGACACGAGAGAACCAGCCACACAACCCCCGAGCCTACCCCGCCTCCAAGGCCACCTGCCAAGCCACCTTGCGATCAGAGGCCTCGAAAGCCTTCCCGGGCGACTCTACTGTCAGTTCTAAAGCCCGCACGGAACAAGCTGGAAGAAAACACGCAGGACGTTCACTGGCGTCTTCTGAGTGGTGTGGTTCCAGGGATTTTAAAACTTACTTATTTTTTTATTATTTGTCGTTTCTAAGTTTTTATCTGATGTACAATATGATGCTTTTAAAACAAGGTAGGTTAGTCTAAAACTCCTGCAGAAGTCTGGCAGCAATATTCTGTGCACGCCGCCCCCCCCCCCCCTTTTTTTTTTGACTTGCTAGGCTCAATTTCTGGGGCCAGGACCGAGCTCCTTTTCCCCGGCTCTTCTAGGCCCGCCCTTGGCCACACCCACACCCATCTTTTACTTCCGTACCTCCCCCTTCGCCTACGGTTGCTGCCAAAACCCGGAAAGGTGGACTCTGCACGCTGACGCTTGTGGCTCCTGCAGGCAGACTGGGCTTGTTCCGCCGCCGGGTCAGGGACCGCTGTCACCGAGAAAGGAGGCTTTAAGAGACTCCCAGTTGCTTTCCTCCTTCTCCCGGTCCCTGGCCAATGAGACAAAATAGCGCCGCCGACCCCCTGCCCCAAGTTCGGACCCGCAGAAGTGGGTCAGGACCGGACTGAGCATGCTCCGGGCAGTGCCAGGCAGCCGCAAAAGCTGCGTCGGGTTGCCCAAGGTTGCTCGCTCATCACAACGTGGAAGGTCAGGAGGCCGATGGAAGCTGGGCACTAGCGGTGCGCGAGAGCCCGGACAGGTCGCCCCTGCTGAGGCCCATGGTGGGACGGGGACGAGTGTGTGTGTGTGTGTGTGTGTGTGTGTGTGTGTGTGTGTGTGTTAGGATGGGGGTGCGGGACATTTGGTTTCCCTAAAAGACTGACATTAGAAATGATATTTTAACATCACTTTTTATGACATCTCGAATAACAACACATTTTAGCTCTAAGAATTTTTCAGCCTGGTTTGCTCCCAGGCAACCTAAGCCTTCTTTCATATACATTTTTAAAGTATTTAATAGGCATTCTTTACAGTTGCACTCAAACACTGAAATTTCACCTGTTTTATCAAAGATTAAATTTTTATCCTCACTATCAATTCTGCAATATTATATTTCTTTTTAAAAATTTAGGCTGTACTGCATTCACTCTCCTGCCTCCCTTTCAAATTCTCAGAGAACCTGCAGAATGTTCTCATACTGTCTTGGATACACTTGAGGCAGGTGTGGGGAACTTGCTTTTAATTCTCTGTCACAGAAGAGGAGACTGAAATGGAGTAAGCTTCCAAGGAAGAGATTTTATAGGCTTGAGATAAACTTGGGAACCCAGAGAGCCTTGCATTGAGTCCAGGCAGAAACGGGACAGTTGTGTGTTTTGTCTGGGGAAGAGGGAGATGGGCACATGGGACAGCTGCCCAGTGAGGTCTGGGGTGACAGTGGGAAATACCCTCAGTGAGGGTTGGCTCCATTTCAATGTCTTCCCTTGTGCAGCCCTAGTTCAGCATAAGCATGGCTGGAGACACCATCTTTAAGTACTTCCCGCTAGGCTCCTAATCTGTGCTGCAGCCATCCTCAGCCCTGAGCTTTCACATGTCATTGTGGCTGGTACCTCTGAGCACTGCTCTTGAGTTTCCCAGGTCCCCATAGACATCCACATCACAGATAATCTAGCCTGGGAAAGGTTGACATCTCTTCAACAGTCCATTCCACCACTCCTCCCAGCTGAAACTTTATGGTCCAGTGTTCCATGACCTGTCTGACAGTTCCTTCTCCAGGTTCCTTTCCTCGGCACCACTCCCCATTGTAGGTGTTCGGTCCGGTGGCCTCTTCCCTTCCCATTTCTCTGAGGGCTCTCATTCACTCTGATGATTGTCAGTTCCAAGGTGGTGTTCATTTGGGTGTGCACGTGTGACCATGCTAGTTGTTTATTGCTGGGATCCTTTCTGCTCCACCAGGCACCTGTTCTGATGATTTATGCCTGACTGTTTGTCCATACCAGTTGGTAATATTTTGAATATTATCTTTGCCCCAAGCCATAACCTCTTTTACACATCTACCCGAGTTCAGACCCTTGTATGTAATCTACCAAATATCCTAATTGCTATGACCCTCAGGAAATTTGAACCCAGTATGTCCCAAACAGAATTCGGGAGCTGTGGTTGCTCTTCTGCCTATATGTCTGTTTCCTGGGACCCCCACCTTCTCAGCTATGCACACCACAAATATGGATGTTATCCTAGATTCATCCATCTGCCTTTCCCCTATCATCTTGCTAGTCACTGGCACTGACTACCCTGCCCTTAGACATCTCTGCATACAGACCCTCCACCTCCACCTCCTCCTCCACTTTCCTCTCTCTGTGTTCCTGCCAATCCATCCTCCACACCTCCTCATATTTTCTTTTTAAGCAAATCATATTGCAATTTGTCTGCTAAAAATCCTTAAGTGGATTCATAGTGCCTTCAGGATAGAATCTAAGTTTCAAACCTGAACTGGTCCCTGTGTCCTTCTCCAGATTAGCCTCCAGCCAGTGTCCCCTAGGGCCCCACATCCTAGCAACCCGAATTCCTTGTCCTGTAAATTCACGCCTCTGGGTTCCATTACTCTTCCCTCTGTCTTTTCTCCTTGTCCATCCCTTGGCAACATCTTCAAGACTCAGTTCAGGCTGGGTCTCTTCTGAACCTCCCCAAGATGACTTCCTCTTGAATACTTCACCTGCATCATATACCTTGTCTCCATTTTTAACTTAATTTTTAACTGCTTTATTAATTTCATATCATGAAAAGAATATTTTTTCCCCCAAAACTGGATGAAATTGACCTGCTGGACACAGAGTTTTACACATAGGCCATACAATATTCAGTTAGAAACTGGTAAGAGGAAACACCAACAAGTTTACAGAAAAGTAAATCACAAAACTACTAAGTTTTAGAGCAGAGGCCACGTTATTTTATTATTATTTTTGCATATTGTGTTATTATTTATTATTTTATTATTTGTAAAACATGTATACTTTTTGTTGACAGTATTACAGATGTTACCCATTCCTCCCCCTTCCCTTGGCCCCTTTGCTCAACCCCTGTGCCTCTAGGCCTTCACCATACTATTGTCTGCCTCCATGGGCTATGCATATAAGCATGTAAATTGTTTGTTTTATCTCTTCCGATCCCCTCCCTCCACTCCTAGATTTGTCAGTCTGTTCCGTGGCAGAGGCCACACTGTTAACCTCAGGGAAAGCCTTCAGATTCAAAGTATAAGGTAAAAGTCATAATGATTATCGGGTTCAGGAGTTTGGAAGTGCATATCCTGACTCATTTGCTGCTCCCTAGTCTTTCTTCTGATTTCCATTCATTTCTACACTATCTCCCACTTCATTGTGATCAATAGGCTTGATAGTTAGGGCCCATGGAAAATTAGGGACAGTCACCTAACCCACCCCAGCCAGACATCTCCTCCTGGCTTCCGGGCTTCACCCCCTCCAGATGGTGTGGTTCCTCCTCATTCTGCATAGGGGCCAGTCCCTCCTTCATTTTCCTGTTGGGCATTTTCCTTGTTGAGATTTTTTTACTGCCTGTACCTCTTTGGATGCCATCACTCCTGGGCCTATCCTTGCTGTCTGCTCCTCCTCACAATTCTTGCCGAAACACTTGGACCTGAAAACCTGCTCCCTCTCCGCCTCCACCTCCTACTCTTGGGGCTCCTACATAATCACTGGTTATGTAGTAAGGAAGCTGCTTGTTTTTCCATGTGTTGACCTACAGGGGGATTTTACTTGGTGACTCAGGGCCACGGGGAAAATGAACCAAGAAGGGTGTGAGTCACTGCCTAGTCTGGTCTACCTTGTCTCCATTTTGACACCTAACCTTGATTTACTTTCCTTTGTTATATTGTAGGCAACATGACCACAAAGGCTCATCTCAACCGTCTTTGTATCTTTGTTCTCAGTCCTCAATACAATTTTACTTGATAAATGAATTATAGACATATATACCCACGTAATATTTAAAGTTTATTAATTTTTAAAATTCTATCTGAGAATAGTAAATTGAATGAAAAGAAAAAAAACCAGAACAGTCACATCATATATAACCTGCTGAATGGTTATGCTCCTTTGAGTAATAAAAGCAAGATCTCAGATGTGACTTTAAACCCAGTGATTTTCTTCAGCTTCAGAAATCAGGAAGTATTTTTGTAAGCCAGTCTGATGTACTTGTTTTAGCAGCCTGTAACTGCACAAAGCCAGCATGGTATTGCTAATTAAGCACAAAGTCCATTGTTCTCTCTTACTGGGTTTCCTTCCACAGTGTAGTTATAAACTCATAATTATAGGGTTACTTCCTAGAACAGAGTTTGTTGTTTGTTGTTGAAAGTATGGCGTTTTGGAAGGGCAGATTAACCATTTAGGAATGAACATGATTTTTATAGTTCTACCAGCTCCCATTGCCTGCTGAGAGCACCCAGAGATAA